TTTCCTTCGGGAACTGATTCCTAGTAAGTAATATGGGATCTATACGGATGTTAAACATCGTCTCTCAACAATGGATATAAATTGGCCCCGGAGCGGCCACAGTGTGTGTACAACATACACACACACACACCAACCTCTTAATATATGCGAACGATTTGTATCGCACCGGTTAAGAATTCGCGAATCTTCCACGGACACTCCCACAACGACCAGTTTGGAATTTATTTTTATTGACTACATCGACTGGTTTGTTTTAAATTAGATTGGTGATTAATTTTCTCTTTTATTTTTAGTTTAAAGGTTAATACAAAATAAAGTATACAAAAATAATTGTGTGCATAAGATGCAAAAAATGATTTAAGCTTGAAAGAAATAGAACTGAAATAATGTTGGAATGAAGAATCAGGAACACACGACCGAGGCGTTCAGTTGTTTAAATTGGAGACTGTTGCATGATGTATTCTCGAGAAGAGGTGTTAAAGGCGCTTCGTGTCAATCACGAAGTTGATACGCTCACGCAAACCTTCAGACGGTATCTCTTGATGTGCCCACGCTTACAATTTATACACGCAACACGAAAACGAACGCTTAAATATCCTTGTATATCAAAAAAGATCAAATGGTTTGTATAAAAAGATCGAATATGACAATTTGAATTAATTCATTCGAATATCTATTTCACTTACAAATAAATGATAGAGATGCGTCTCTACTATGTCAATTGGAAATGTCGATCGGCAAAAAAGAGTGAAATGATTTTTGCTAATTTCCGAAGCTTAATTCTGACTCTTGAACTGTATTGGCTACAGAATGTTTATCGCTTCGTTCAATACAAACATACTGAGGTTCACGCTTTCTTTTAAAAATCTACGTGTAGAAGAATAACACTTTAGATAAATTTTGGGTTTCTACTACTTTTTCGTGCTCTTCTATTATTGGAATATCGTGATCTTCATAATTCATCCATCAAATCTTCTTTACCTAAAAATAAGACTTAATTGCCGATTTTTTTATGATAATTACATTTTTGCTAATCGTATTAGATTTTAGTCAAGGTCTCTTATGGCCGAGATGCTACTTTAATCACACTTTATATTGAAGGGTCTCTATTATGGAGTGAAAGATTTTCGTTTTTATTCAGCTTCATCTTTTAACACCTCGACTAAAATCTTTGAAGACCTTAGCTGCTAGGTTGCTTTATGTTTAGAAGTTTCCATTGTAGCGTCTCGCCTGCAAACGAGTTAGGTATAAATTTTTCTGATCATGCTAGATTTTAGCCAAAAGCTTCCGGGAGAGGTGTTACTTATATCTTTAAGGATTGGTGTTGTAGCGACTGCATAGCAACCAACCTCAGTTTATATCGACCGCTTGCGGGTTACCTCCATCAGGTTTTATCTTTCAATATCTTACAAACACTGGCTCTTTGTTACAACTGTGCTTAATATGGCATATGAAATAATTTACACAATACAGAATTTTTATGGAGATGGTACCAAATTTCTTGTTGAAAAAATCTAATTATTGAAGTTTTAGCATATTGAATTGAGTGAAGACGTGGCCAATTTTGCAATGATGTCACGGTTAAACTAAAATTGTCGTTCTCTTTGGAGACAAACTCTCTTTGGAGATATTTTTGACAAATATGTAATAGTTGGAAGAGTAGCGAAACAAAACTTGATCATGTTTCTAATCAATTTGTCTGGAAGTTATGCAAATTTTATTACTATAACGTGTATAGTTTTAATTTAAAAGTTGCGTGGTCTAATTTTAGATTATTTTTAGTTGATTAAGCTGAAAGCAAAGTTATTAATTTTGAAATGCTGCAATCCGGTAGAGTTAAACGATACCATGACGAACGTTCCTACAATTTTGTTTGCCAATTAAATCCCTACTTCCCATATAATTGTCCCCAAGCAGCTATTAACAGCCCACCGAAGGAACCTCTGGCGAATCGAAACCCGGTTTACTCGGTGAACGGTTCGAGGCGAGAAAGTCGTTGGTCTTCGGCGGCGCTCCGTGACTTTGACGGCAACGCGTGGGCCGATTTTGATATGTGGACGGTGCTAATGGAAATAATTACGCGATGCCGACACGGCAACTCCTCTTTCGTTCACTCAATATCAACCACAAAACCAAAAAGAAGAAACACACCCACAAATAAAAATCTCATTTCTTATTAAACTTAAACTGTACTTTTACGGCGACCTATCGTTTCTTGGTTTGTAATAATCCGTTTGGCGCCGCCGCCGCAAATCTAATCTGCATATTTCTGATGGGAAGTAGAAGGGGCCCCCGCACCGTTTTCTGCCGCAATCGGGCACGCCTATCGAACGCCCTCTTGTCTCGAGCGCAAATTAATTAGCGATTTCGCACCGCTCTGTCTCATTGGACGTGACGGCGAACACGGCCACGGGCCGAAGAAAACGGAAATTGGTAGAGACGTTGACGGGAGGTGTTTGCAATGAATAGTGACACACGTCCTTCCCAGAAACATCATTATTTACTTCTTTTTTTATTATTTTCAAAATTTGATATGATAATTTTTTTTAATAAAAATATAGATGATATAATTAGTTGAGATTAAATGCAAAAACCAACCACAGCGTTGACGTATACGACGAAGCAACTCCGAATTGATTCTTGTCATTCGCTCTGTTGGCTTTGATGTTATCATGTGATTCATTGCAGAATGCAAATGTGGTTAAATTGCGTAGAAGACTTGAAGTCGTCTCGGTATCGATTTCCTTCGACACCATGGAAAAATTCCATCTCTTCTTTCGTCCTATTATCTTGACAGAATTTTATGGATTAAAACAATAATAAAATTAAAAAAAAAGAACAATCTAATAACAACTAAAACTAGCATTAGAAGTAACCCAAGACCTAGAACTAGAAACATACGGGTTTAGCCATACGTTTCTTAAGATGGCAAACCCGAATGTTTCTAGTTCTAGGTCTAGTGTTAGTTAACCGATCTTGAATCGGTTACAGCTCTATGTGCGGGTGTTATATGTTTAAATAGAAAGAAAAAAAGGAAACCTCCACGTTTGTGGGCCAAGAAGTGGCTATTAGAGCGAAATAGTTTCAGCCACATGTCGTTATTGACTGAAATAGCTACCAATGAGCCACAAGACTACAGAAACTATTTACGCATGAATGAACAATGTTTTGAAGATCTACTTGAACGAGTTTATAATCTTCTTGAAAAAAAAAATACGAATATGAGAGAATCCATTTCTGTTAAGGAACGCCTTGTTGCCACACTTCAATTTTTAGCAAGTGGTAGAAGCTATGAAAACCTGAAGTTCAGTTGTGCGATATCGGCACAAACGCTTGGCAGAATTGTGCCAGAAACGTGCACAGCTATTTTTAATGTTCTCAGAGACGAATGCAGTTCGGGATTGGTACAAATGTTTTTATAACACTAATGGAAGTGTTGAATTTCAAGAAAACATGATTAATAACCGTTGATAGTTGAATGTTCTGTAAAACCTAAATTGACATATATCTTGTACTATAAGTTCCATTAGCCGTTCTGTAGTCGTGTAATGTCTAACAGACCGACAAGGTATTCTCAGTTTGGGGATGGATATCTTCGTAACCGTTCAATGGAAAAAATTGCGATAAAATTTGTTATAATCAATGACCATTTCTACATAACATATATGATTTTTACCGCAATTTTTTGTATCGAACGGTTGCGAATATATCGATCCCCAGACTGAGAACACATCGTCAGTCTGTCAGACCGTACGCGACTACAGAAAGGTTAAGTCTTGTTTCTAGAAATAAACATTACTTATTTAAAGTCATACCTTGATACTTGTCATGTTATAATATTACTCATTAGTAATATAGTCTATTAAAACAATTAGTATTAACAATAAAAACACTTACTGTAACTCGTTCTTCTAATTTGTCCTCGCCACTCTCTTCCTCGTCCTCCAGTGGCACCTCATCTCTTTTTCGTTTTTCCAACGACGATACACCTTTTCTAGCCACTTCTTGGTCGCTGGTGAATACCATTAAATCATAATACCATAGACTTGGTTCATATACGTCATCTTGACCACTTCCGGTCCGTTTTGAACTTTGCACTTTCTTTAATTCTCTCCGAAAGGAAGCTCGGAGTGATTCCACTTTCGCTTTTACAAATTTCTCGTCACAATCTGGAAATATTTCCTTTGCCTTATCGATTAATGCCGGGTATACGGCATTAATCGATAAGCATTCCTTGCGAAGGTGTTTGTTACTATAATTTTTGTGTTTTACATCCCACAGCGAACATTGGTCCCTGTATATTTCGATAAATTCGCTCCAAAACTTCTTATTATCGTTAAAAGACATTTTAAACCAATGTAACTCCAATGTAGTGTAAACACTATTAAAAGATGTCTAAACTGACGTCATTCTCGTCGAGCTGCTCGACGGTTGACCATCCACGATCGAACATGCTCGGTGTTGGGCTCGAGTTGGCCGTAGCTGTCGAGCCGAGCGCCCAACCCAACAAATCAGTCGAGCATGTTGGAAGCGCGTCCATCGACGGTCGAACATGTTGGCCGAGCCGCTCGGACCCAACATGTTGGCCAACATGTTCGACCGTCGATGGGGCCAACATGTTCGACCGTCGATGGGGGGCTTAACACTATACCTAGAACTAGAAGCATTTGGGTTTAGCCGCACGTCTCTAAAGACGGCTAAACCCAAATGATTCTAGTTCTAGGTATAGTGTTAGTTCTAGTTTTACACTTGCACTGTCACTAGAACTAACATTAGACCTGGAACTAGAAGCATTCGGGTTTAGCCGTCTTAAGAGACTCACGGCTTAACCCAAATGTTTCTAGTTCTAGGTCTAGTGTTAGTTCAAGTCTTAGTTCAATGAAAAATATACAACAATCTAACATTTTCCAAATTTGTTGCATTAAAATGATTCATTCAAACAACTAGTAAAAAAATTCCCAATTGTTTCAGATTATTAATTAATTTTCTTTTTGTTTTAGGTTCTAGAGAAGCTGCTTTTACATATGCGATCTCAAGTGCTGGTGTAACATATGCGGTGACTTCTGCGTGTGCTCGAGGTAATATATCGGCGTGCGGATGCGCGTCAGGATCGAATAGATCGCGGGAACCGGCTCCTTCAGGATGGAAATGGGCGGGGTGTAGCGTGGATGTTGCCTTCGGGATGAAATTTGCGAGGAAGTTTCTCGATTCGAGGGAATTCGACGGTGACGAACGAAGTTTGATGAATCTACATAATAATAAGGCAGGAAGAAAGGTAAATTTAAATCATCTTATAAATTGAACACCCTTTTAAGTCAATCTATAAAAAACATGTTGAATCTTCATACACTCTTACACAATTAGAATCACCAATATCTATCAAATATAGGTGATAGTTGCGGAATGTTGTCTATTAGACATGAGTTGTCTATTTTGTTTATTGAACTACAAAGAGGAAGAATGACTGCACGATTTTCAATCTTAAACCAATATAACATTGTATCAAAATAATGTGAGCTGCCGACCTTTAGCGACCCTTGCAATCTGCTGCCACACCTCGCCATTTCACGTTTGCATTAACGTAATCATAAATTTTAGAATCTTTAAAACTTCGAACCTGAAAAATTAATGAGATATCACCTTGAAGTAGAAAACAATTTAAAGTAAATGTAATTATCTATCTCTTGATAACCATAACTATAGAGATTAGAACAAAAGTGGTCAAGTTATTGAAAATCGTATCACAAGAACTAATTGAGATATCACCACGAAGTAAAAAGCATCTCAAAGTAAATTTAATTAGTATTATATGTATATGTTTAGGATTTTCTTCAAATCTCCAAATTTTATATTTATGATTTTCTGTGCAACTCCTCACAAGCAGATATTTAAAGTATCTCTCAAACTAATTGAGATATCACCATAAAATAAAAAGCAATTTAATAAGTATTTAAAATGTTGAAGTTTGAAAGGATGACAACAATCATCTTAAGCATAAATTTAAAAGCAAGTAATTCTTGACTTCTACCCATAATAGACAATAATAGTCTAACAAAGCATTAAGAATTCTGAAAAGATTTAGTTTCCAAATTCTGCATCTTATAAAAGTTCATTTAAACATCTTCATTGATGAATAAAGAGTATCATATTTTTCCTATAATTCATGATTATCATGTGCATGTTTGATTTTTGGAATCAAACTAAGAAGAAAAAAATTAGAGGAATAATTAAAATAATAACATAAAATTTCGAATGTCAGCAGTAAAGAAAAACTTTAAACAGAATAAATTCCTGCCCGTGGTCTCCTTCTACGTTGGTCGCATTGAATTATGTATTCAATTAAAATGAATTTATAGCGGGCTGTCCGCTCTGACCGCGTGCGAATCTTTCTCTCGGTGGTTCGCCGTCCATTTCGGTTCTGGATTGAACGAACAGAAGCAAAGACTCGACTCAACGGTATGCGAAAAATTCGACGCCAACCTCTCACGTATAACTCACCTGTTTACAGTCCGTTTAAGGCAGGCTTTATAGTCGATTTATATCGTCCGAGATATCAAGAATCGTCTCCCCAATTTTTTCTTTTTGATTTTCTTATTTTACGGCGCCGTGCGACGGCAGCAATTTCGGTATACATTATTGATACTAATCTAGCGAGGAGAAATCCGTTTTTGCTTTGGGGTAACACATCAAAGTGTCAGACGGGGCGTTATTCTAATTAATCGTCGAACAAGAAGTAGTCAAGTGAGAGGAAGAAATGGTCGCCGGTTGCCGAGTCGACGAGTTGCGAAATGATTTAGAAGCCCGAAGCGACGGCAGTTTAGAGAAACTTTTACGCCCTTAGTCTAAAGGAAATACGTAGATAAATAACGTCCACACGAATCGACGCAATTAGCGCCGAGAGATAATATTTTCGAAGACTTCCTACGACGTGTCCGTCTGAACGCGGGCAACATAGTATGCTTTATGACCCGTTAGGCGTAAATCCGTGTTGGTCGCTTATTTTCCAAAGACGTATAATTTCGACATCAAAAGAACCGAGAATATTACTGTATTTAGTTATACATATACGTTTTCAATGCATAATTAAAGGTTAATTTATCAAGGACTTTCTAATAAACGCAATACAAGAAATAACTAAATACTTTGAATAAGAACTCTAAAAGACAATAAATGGCCAAATCGTACTATAATTTATTATTTCTTCAAACGTCATGAAAAGACATCTTTATTGACCTGCTTTCTTAAGGAAAAAGTATGCCATTCAAAGACTGTCACGATTGCAATGGCAGCAAATTGGAAATTACTGTACCACTATATAATTTCTAGTGGATGGTTATTTACATCAAAAACTAGAAAGCTTTTTTATTATTAATTGTAAAATTATTGTTAAGTTCAGAAAAAGGCAGGTCTAAGCACTGGTGTCATCAGAAACAAAACTTTAAAGCTATACGATAACTTTGTAGAAAGTAAACCGTCATCAAGAAAGTACTAAACGTTTCCTTAAAACTATTTATTTGTTGCAAATAAAGGTTGGTTAGATAAATTCAAAAATCAGTAACACCTTTACAATTTGTAGTTGATGAGAGAGCCAACTTTAGCCAACTTATATTGAGGATGAAAGAAGTTTTACTGATGGACATCGCTACTTCCAAAGCTACCATTGTTGCAAAACCGCCAAAGGACACTCAAAAAGTCCTTTGCACAGCTAGTTCCGAATACAGGAACCAACCCAACCCAACCTATACCGATCAAAACATACACACCGGGAGTAAGGATCGATCGCTTACTACTTGTTATCTTTCAAGATAACGTCAAAAACAAATTGGAACCTAGGCGTTTGAATTTACTGCAAAAAAAATGACTATCTTATGAGAATCACAAATGTCACTAAAGCATCATGACTATGCATATAAAGGATATGAATCGCCACACAAAGTCTAGAAAATTAGCATGCCCCAAAGTACAGCAAGAAAGCTCATAACTGCACCATGTACCCAATAGAGTCCAAGCCAGAGTCAGAAAACCGCCAACAGCGGTTTCGCCTTGACCAACCCACCTAAAATTACAGTCTTGAAGAATAACAACAGATAAAATAAAATATCCCACGAAACGTCATCAATAAACCATAATCTATAAATCATTAAAACTTGGAGCTGTAAATAATAAGAATAAAAATGTCTGTATATTGTAAGTCCAATAGACAATAGAGATACTTTTTGATACTTTTTTTAATGTTTCTTCCTTTTTATAGACAATACTTCAGATTATCTGCAGTTAACTCATCAGGAATCTTAAAGAGAAACGTAAAGATTTAATCTTTGCCTTATAACCAACTTTATTCTTTCCAGTCATTAGAGCAATGTTTAATAACAATATTCAAACATTTGCAAAATTGGAAGGGGACAGATATTTGAAACTTCTTAGATCTTTCATAACTATTAGTTTATGTCAAAACGAGTTCTATAACACTTAATCAATTGAGGGTGTGGTATAAAGATATCTATGAAGCGGAGATGAGCTGACGAGGAAGTAGAAAAGTTAAAATGAGTTATCTGAGGGAAGAGATAATTCTGAGGCTTTGTATAAAGAATTGCAAATAGAAATCCATATCTATATCCATGTTGATATGAAAATAAATCGATTGGCATCATTTTGAGAAGATTCATTCCGAATTTACGAAGAAGGAAGTGGATGCGACGCTGGAGAGGGATAGAGAGGCTATGATGTCTGTAAAGAACGTAGTGAGATCAAATATTATTCAGGTTATACGATTATTCACGGTATGTACAGATATCTTGACTTCGCTATACAATAAGTGTATAAAATAATGTAGATTTCCGAAAGAAGTTTGCCTTGATGCTGGGAAAATTGCTGAAGAAACTAGTATGAACAAGACTGGAGCTTAATTAGATTGATAGTGGTCTGAAACGAGAAGAGGTGTGGTTTTAAAACGCTATGTAGTGGATGTAGCTAAGAGTGATTAACATTCCTAATAGTATCTATACATTAATTCGGGACTACTTTTAGAGCCATCAGGTGCTGAAGAAATTGTGATGTATAAGACTATGGTTTGCCCTCAAATCTCTATCTATGACACCAAGTTGGGGCTGTTAGTATGGAAATTAATTTGAATGATCTATTGATTATGGTTATACACAATTAAAAGTTTCAAAACAAAAAGCAGCGGGATATACATGAACTTAATAAATAGACAAATATGTTTTGAAGATATATTTTTCCTACCGTGTTTAAGACTTGTATAGTTTTCACCATTGGTCTCAAAAGTCTTTGAAAATGTATTGAATTCAAAAATTGACAGTTTGGAACCATAATAAGATAACAACTCATAACCAAATCCCATGTTGTTACTTCTTTGATTACCCTATGTAATCAATATTTATACTTAACAAATGATCTTTCTAAAAATATTAACAGATTAGCTTTTAATATAATTATTATTTGTTGTATTGTTTTTATCACTCATTCTTACAATAGATCAATTTATTATCCGTTTCTCATATGAATTTCCTGGTGTCCTAATAAAATTTATCACCGCTCAAGTCTCAAACGTCATACACCAAAGCTACCTGAATAATATCGATTCAATTTGATTAATAGATCGGTGACGATTTCTCTCTTGTAATTTATTAACGCCCTAGGTTCACTTTGGACATACAATTTATGCACGTCAGCTAAGTAGGTAAGAATAGACGTTTGGGTCAAGAAATCAATTTTCAATATACTAATGAAAGAACATTTAATATAAATCAATACGAAACTAGAGCAAAAAATAAATCAAAGTATTAAGACAGGAAACTTAACGGAGATAATAACTGAGATAAAATAGTTAAATCGTGATTTTCATAATAATTAACTACTTTTTGTTTATATTGTAACAAGAAAATGAAATACGATGGAAAACACAATCAAAAAGAAACTTGATTGATAATAATAAACGTTTAACATTCTTGAAAATTTATTGCAAGGTAATTGATGGTCTTTATATGCAAATGGAGATCGGATGTATCGATACAAATCGGCGGATTCACTTATCGCGATTCGATATCGATGAAGTAAAAGAGAGAATGAAAAGGAGAGGGTCGCGCGTCGTCGTCGTTTCAGAGAGAGCTTTTATGTGACAACTTCACTAAAAGCGATCCAAAACCGATCGTAACGCAAGGGCGTAAAATACGAGCGTGCGTGTCCGCGTTAACACGGTTTTTATACGATTTTATCTTGAAGTGACCGCGATAATTTCGGAAACCTACACGGACCAGAGACTCGACTTGTTTCGCTCTGTGTCAAACCACTTTGGCGACCACACACATCGCTGTTCACCAATTTTATTATTCTGTAATAAAACATCACGTTAAAATGTTAATAAAAAAATTAATAATAATAAAAACGTTCCTATTACAAGATAATTCGTATATAAATTATTCATAACATCATTCGATGTGGTTTTTTCGCTTGGTTTTCTTTGGGATTTCGAAGTTGTTCAATTAGTGACGTGAAGACGCATACAAAAGAGCAATAAGATCGCGGTATAGGGAAAAAAGCGCATGAATACGTAATAAAATGCCGCCGTTGAATAGGAGCGACGTTTCTTTGGCTTTGGACCGTTGTCGCCGTCTTCGTGGTGCCCCCGTGGGCCTTACCCTAACAATCAGGTCCATCACTCACAGGGAAACTGTCAATTAGTGAGTCGAGCCGCGAACGCGAAAGAAATCCAAACCAGCGGATTCTGGAGGAGTAGACGCCTGCTCGTTCGCAATTCGAAGCACCCACGTCACGGTTACATTCTATTTCTTCAAACTGATTAAGTTCCATTTTTTTTGTGTTAACGAGAAAAGAAAATAGTACAATATGATTATATTTTTTCAACCTAATTATGTAAACGACCAATAACTACCTTGATAAACGTTTTACAAGAGTGGTCGTTATGACTTGAAACACGCCTCTACAATACGTATTTATAGGCCGTTACGTTAGACATAAAACGTCGCCGATCGATATTCAGGCTAACTGTAAATTGCCAATTATATTACAGTAAAATTACAAACTGAAAGATTTACGGGTGGTGAATATGTATAATTTATAACTGTTAATGTTGATCTTTTTTATTTTTTATCATCAGGCCGTTAAATTAAATCTGACGACAGAATGCAAGTGCCACGGGGTATCAGGAAGTTGTACCATGAAAACTTGTTGGAAGAGCTTACCGCCGTTTCGACTTATCGGGGATAGTTTGATGAAGAAATATTACCGAGCCAGACCTGTGACGGCGATCTCAAGCGTACTAAAAAACGAGAAGAAATCGAAGAAGATCCATCTTGTTTTAAAAAAGGGAAAAATGCCTATAAAGAAACCTCCGAAGAAAAGTGATTTAGTTTTCTTACAAACGTCTCCAAATTATTGCGAAAAAGATTTAACAGCTGGTTCTTTAGGAACTGTTGGAAGAGCTTGTAATCGAACATCAAAAGGTAAAAATGATTTAATTAGATAATTCTAATTCTTCATTTTGAAATGTTATATATATTTTTTGTTGTAGGTAGCGATGGGTGTGACTTAATGTGTTGTGGTCGAGGATACAACACGCATCAGTACACAAGAACTTGGCAGTGTAATTGCAAATTTTACTGGTGCTGTTCGGTCGAGTGCAAGGTGTGCAGTGAAAGAACCGAGGAGTACACTTGTAAATAAAGGACCGTAACGATCCTCGGCACCACAATAACCGTACGTTCGATCGTCTCTGAACAATGGACCACAACGGACACAAACCGCTATCAATATACATAACGAAACGATAATTGATTAATCAACGAAGCCTCGGCCTGAAATAACGTTTAATGTCGGTTTATGCAAACGCTATACTCACGATATTAGAATTTACAGTTAGTTTGTACGTATTGCCTTACCTAAATTATTTATTTCCTACCCATTATTTGTTCGTTATTAATGTTATACGTCCCTTATTTTTTATGTAATTTACATGACACTCGTTTATAATTTTTGCTTTGTAAATCGCTTCTAATAAATTATCTATTACAAGAGTTTTATTTATTTTTATTTTTGAAACTAACACACAGCATATGCGTTGTAAAATATATTCCAAAAAACTTAATATGTACCATTTGACCTTCTTTTATTAAGTTCGAAAAGCATTTGATTGGGCAGAAAAAACAAAAAAATGTATAGATTATAAATATAGCTATGTTTAGATTTGATCTTTCTTAGTTACTCTTTAAATTTGTTAGTTTTATACAATAAACACAGAATTTAGATTAGGAGTGCTTAAACTAACACGATGAGCGATCTATTCTATATAACATGTATATCTAAAAACTCTTTTAATTACTCAGGAATCAGTTTGAATTCGACTAGTAGACATTATTTTGCTTTTAAGGGGGAGATACATTTAAACGCGCAAAAATAAGTGCGCTTTTCATTAAGATGCAATTAATTTCAAACATTTTGTTCATTCACCACTGTTTGTTCATGTCGTCTTAGGGAAAGTGACGGCGCGAATTGCTTTGCTTTGGACAGTCTAGGATTTGTTACAACGGTTAGAATTACTTGGGAATACATTCAAATTGTTCCTAACATTCGTATCTTCTATGTGAACCTAAAAAATTTGAAGAAAATTAATAATTAAAGAAAATACAATGTTTTAAAAAGATATTCCTGCTTTTTAAGAAAATTTTGGTGAATTATTCAAAAACAAAGCACTTTTTTAAAACAATTTATATAATTTTTTTGGTTCAAATAGAAAACAACATCACTATTTATATCTGTAACAAATTTCAGAAATATTGGTCGTGTGGTTTTTAAGATATCTCGTGCAAGAGTTGTAAAAACGTAATTTTGAGGAAATTGCGTTTAAAGATTCGAGTAGTGAAAACTGATTGCTTACAATTTCCAATGATTTGCTTCATAGTCTGCAAATCTATGACCATACAATAAACCTTCCTTTTCTTCATAAAATGAATTTTCCACTGGGTGCTGTTCTTTCCGTACTTTCCAAGCTTCTATATGGTCAGCGATTCGCTACGTCGCTCTTGCCGAATAATTCAGTGTGCATCTATTTTATCGGCATATAATTGACATTACAAAAGAAAACTGACCTTACTCAACATTCCTTCACGGTGTAATAAACATCATAAACGAAAACTGACCTTACTCAACATTTCTTCACGGTATAATTAACATCAGAAAAGAAACCTGACCTTACTCTACATTCCTTCCCGGTGTAATTGACATTACAAAAGAAAACTGACCTTACTCAATTTTTATACTAAAACTAGAACCAACACTAGCATTATCACTAAAACTAACACTAGACCGTTACTTTCGGGTTAAGCCGTGCGTTTTTTGAAAAAATTTTTGACGTTTCGGGTACCATGTTGTACCAACCTTCTTCAGAAACAAATTCGAAGTTACTCAACATTCTTTTTCGGGATGATTGACGGTTCAAAAGAAAACTAACCTTATCCAACATTCTTTCTTGGGTTGATTGACATTTGTAAACAAAACTAAACTTTGAATATGAAAATAAAACGCAATATATGAACTTCGCACTTGCAAAAATTATTTAATTTAAATCGGGACCGGTTTCGAAGTTTATAACTTCATCTTCAGCCGAAAATGTCAAAAAGTGAAACCAACAGGTATAATCATTTGAAAAATTTTGAAATGTTGAAAAATTTTGAAAAGGTGTAAATTTTAAAAATCTTAGATAGCATCCATAACATAAAATGTATCGTAAAATTTATATAAAAAACCAAAATGGAGGAGATATAAAACGTGATGCGTATAATAAAATTACAATGAAATGAGACAAAAATGATGGTTAAATATAAAAATTTCATGAAAACGAAACAAATTAAGTATCAAAAAATAGACGTGACCATCTTGGCGGAGCGAGAAGAAGAGACTGGGGGACTTCAGTCTCTTTTTTTTTAATTTTCATATTCAAATTTCATTTTTACTTGCAACATGGATATTTCTCATAAAACTAAACTTGCCTAGCATTCCTTAGCTGTAATCTAAACTAATCTCGAAAAAGAGCATTCCATGAACAATCTATCAAACTCCTTGGCGAAGTCTGTCTATATTACATATGTATGTGGTTTTTTATCTATATTCTCTGCGATGAACTACTTGAGCTAAATTAAGTATAATTCAATCTAAAGTATAATCTATACTAATACGAGCCTTTTCCGCGCACCGATATTTTACCATACATTCTAGCGTTGACAGGTCTTATTGGTAATCTCCCTTTCTCCCTGGACTTGATACTCTTCCTGTGTTGTTTTATTTAATCACCCCAGTATGTACGTAAAAAAAGTATATAACAGGTCTTATAATTACGTCATCAATACAAGTATGCAACCAATATCACAGTATTGGTATTGCAATACGCAAATCAGTATTATACAGCGCGGGTACGATAATTAATTGACACACTACGTACTACGTTTATTGCAAGGATGGACGTTTTTCCTCCTCAAAGTCCTCTTTTGTTCTATATGTTAGATTATTTTCATTCCCCGTTATCTTCTGTGCTTTACCTGATTTTCGTCTTACTTCGTTAAACTCACTTTGTCTTCCTCTGCTTCTCCTTTGTATGTATTGTGCATGTACCCTATAACTCCCCTCTATTGCCTGTCTATATTCGTCACCAAACCAGACAGTTAGTTTTTCTTGCTGTTTATTTTTGTATTAGTCACTTCTTTAACTATTATCTTGATGTATTCCAGTAGTGTTTTTTCCTTTCTAACTTTGTCGCAACTTTTTTATCTATAATAATATGGATTATTTGGTTTGCTGTGCTTCTATCCTGTCACATTCATATTGTTTTGAGGATGTTTCTAAGGGTTTCAGCATGCTTAGTCTATTTTAGTCCTTTTCTATCGCGATGGTTTCTTCTAAACTTGGAAGTATAAGTATGTTATAAGATAATTAGTATAGCAATTAGAATAAACGTAAGTCATCATATACATATTACTTATTATTATTTATTAGGATTACTGTTAGGCTGAGGGGAGCGGCCCCTCTCGTCAACGCGACCTATAAGATCTATTGTACACTCCAAAAGTTTAGGGCCAATGTATTGCTCCATGGTCTTGTTCCTTTATGTCGGTAGGTGTCAGGCATACTTTACCGAAAATTTTGTGTTTTAGGCGACGCATTCACACAATATATGTTCAACAGTCTCCGACTCGTCGTTACAAAGTCGACAAGTTTGATATTCAACTTATCCAATGTTGAAGAGATGGTATTTTAGGGGCGCATGGCGGATCAGGAAGCTTGAGAGCGACCTTACATCCTCTTTGCTGAGGCATAAAACCTCTTTGGTTTTATGCTTCAGCCTGTTTTAAGTGGCTTTTTCGTAATCCACAACCGAGTTGGGGTCCAATAAAGGGCATTTATCAAAATTACTCTATTCTAAAAAATATTTAAAAATTTTAGATTGCACAGGATCCTTTTTAACGCCCTAATCAGTCAGTGCCCTCTAGTTAAAAGAGTTCTTAACTACCGATTACGAGCTTATTACTCTTGAATGAGTATTCTGTACTTAACTAGCCAGTTTTTAAATCACCCCAAAAAAATGTATCTAGATATACACTTCAGGGTAAAAAGGATAATAAAAATACTACGCGAAATAATAGATTGTTTAAATTAAAACATTGTTGATGTACTACATGTAGCGTCCTCTGTCGGCTAATAGGAGTAAGATTTCTAAAAGACATTCTGAAAACTGTAAAATATTCAGCATTTCAGTAAAGCGGAATGTTCGGTAACTATTATTGACCGGTTTTTTCGTAATCGAAGAGTGGCGCACACGCAGAGCGCGAACGTTTTCTCGACGTCGGCGTCGCGACGCGGCTATACACTCGCTCCTGACCCAAATAACACGCTCTCTCCTCCCCTGCCGGAACACGACGTCGGTTCAACGGGAGCGAATCGATAGACGCGCGTACGACCGACAAAAACTAAAACGTACACGTCGGGAGGGGGAGAGAAGACGTCGAAAATAAGAGGATAGCGCGCGGCGACGCTAATTCGCCGCGGTTCGTTCGGTCAGTTTACCGCGACGCGTCGTCCCCCGCATATATTTAACGCTGCCGCGAAAACCTCCGCCGTAGGTATGTACCTAAAATCAAAAGAGAATTTTAAATAATTAAAAAATAATTAATTCATCGATCAATTGTTTTTTATGCAAATAGTAATAGTTATCAATAATCGATTAAAAAGGAAAAGAGAGTAGTGTTAAAAAATAATAGCTTATTAAATATAGCGGTAAGGCAATAATGCGTACCGCGCGGTTTTGCGGTGGCAATATTATAGGTAGTTTAGTTCGGCCGTTCTCCCTAACGGGGGGAGTGCGTCGGCGCGTCGCGACGGTGTACGGTCCGCGTAGGCCCGAGCCGATTCATTGATCAAGTAGTCAAGTCGAGTTGAGTCGCGGGGTCAAGTCAAGTCGGCGGCGGCGGAGGAGGCGCGGCGGTGGTAAGACAGACCGAAAGGAGCAGGAGGAGGAAAGGGACTGTTTCGAGAGGATGCCGGGTGCGACCGCGGCGGTTTTGGTTCCGGGTCCATCAACGGTGATGATGACGATGACGGTTACGAAGGCGGCAAAGGCGACGACGAAGGTGACGGGGGTCGGTATTGGCGGGCCATGAGATGTCTCGCGACGCGTACGTCGGGGGTAGCCGGTCCCCGAGGGGCGTGAGGTTACCCACCGTGGACCGGTCGCCGAGCAGGGTGTACCATCCGGGCGGTAGCCCGGTCGGCGTCGGCGTCGGAGTCGGCAGGAAAGCACCGCGCCAGACAAGAAGCGGAAACGCGTCTCCTGATCACGTCGTATCCACGTCGTACCAGGGGGGGTACTACCACGAGGACCTCGGTAGTCCGATGCTCGAGGAGCGCGGCAGACCGTTGGCCGTCGGACCGGGAGTCGGGGGTCACCATCGCTCGAGGAGTGCGACCCGTCCCTCGAACCCGATGTCCGTCCGGTACCAATCGCTGGACAGGGGTCCGCCGCCTGTCGACCACGATCGCGAATTCTTGCCGATAAGGGACCGAAGAGACAGATCGCTCGAAAGAAGTTTGTACTTTGACGACGATCCGTATATCGGCGGAGGCAGATCTGCACGACAGTCACCTGTCTCGCATCAACCCTTTCTCGGAGAGCTTCAGCACCAAAACTCCGACCTGCAAAAGGAGCTCGGAACACTTAAAAAAGAATTAGAACTGACCAACCAGAAGCTCGGATCGTCGATGCACTCGATCAAGACCTTCTGGAGTCCAGAACTGAAGAAGGAGAGGGCGTTACGGAAAGAAGAATCCGCCAAGTACAATATGATCAACGAACAACTCAAACTACTTAGCAGCGAAAATCAGGTAAATATTTTATTTACACTACTTTCATTATTTGTTTTGATACATATCCACATACATAGAACATATTATCATAAAACTCGCATATCATAAAAATTCCATGGAAACGGAGCAAATCCATGTAAATGCCGTAGTGCGTAAAGCGTGGGAGGACGAAAGCGTAGGACGCGCTCATCGATCGAAAAACTAAAACACCCGCTACTTACCCCACTGGTTCTGATCATAACCTAACAATATAGTATATTAAGAAATAATCATTAAAACTATTTACAACCACAACATTTAATATGGCAAATGATTAAATCCAGAAAACTAGCGGAATAAGAATCAAAAAAAATAACCAATACAATGAATTTCACTTAAAATGCAATACAGCGTGTCCCGTATCTTCCGCATCAGAGCATTATACGGTTGTAGAATACATTATTCTGAAGCGATCTTTCTAATAAAATTTTTTCGAAATGTTTATAATAACCGCACGGGAACTGTTTAACGACGACCAATAACGGACGACTTTGATTCATCGAAAAAGTTTATTTCTCTTTCCATGACGAATCTATTGGTGAGTACACGTGGGAAACGAGTTATCATCGGCGTAGCGAACCGGCCGAGGGTGGCACCGATTACCTGAGTCTGATTTGCGATCTGCTGATTGGACGAAAAACAGTTCCTTTAAACAGTTCCCGTGCGGTTATTATAAACATTTCGAAAAAATTTTATTAGAAAGATCGCTTCAGAATAATGTATCCTACAACCTATAATGCTCTATAACTCTATAATGCGTATAATGCTCTGATGCGGAAGATACGGGACACGCTGTATACAAAAATATATTTCCATAGAAACCATACTTACTTTGTCCCACATAATTTCTAGTTGTAGATCTAGTGTTAGTTCTAGTTTTACACTAGCACTATCACTAGAACTAACACAAAACCTAGAATCATTGCGGTTTAGTTATCTTGAGAGACGTGCGGCTAAATCCGAATGTGTTTAGTTCTCGGCCTAGTGTTAGTTCTAATACTGTACTAGCACTATCACTAGAACTAACACTAGACCTAGAAGTACAATCATTCGGGTTTAGCCGTCTTGAGAGACGTGCGGTTAAACTCGAATGTTTCTAGTTCTCAGTCTAGTGTTAGTTCTAGCGATAGTTCTAGTTTTAGCTGTTATTCAGCGTTAGATTGTTGCAGTTGTTTGTTGAACTAAAACTAGAACTATCACTAGAATTAATACTAGACCTAGAACTAGAATCATTCGGGTTTAGCCGTACGTCTCTTAAGACGGCTAATCCCGAATGTTTCTAGTTCTAGATCTAGTATTAGTTCTGGTGATAGTTCTAGTTTTAGCTGTTATTCAGCGTTAGATTGTTGTAGTTGTTTGTTGAACTAAAACTAGAACTAACACAAGACCTAGAACTAAAATCATTCGGGTTTAGCCGTCTTAAGAGACGTACGGCTAAATCCGAATGTTTCTAGTTCTAGGTCTGATGTTAGTTCTAGTTTTAATTGTTATTCAGCGTTAGAGTGTGGTATATTTTTATTGAACGAAATATAGAACTAACACTAAAACTATAACCAGAAACATTCGAGTTTAGCCGTGCGTCACTTAATACGGCCGAAAACTCAGGATTATCATAAGAACGTTTACTTTGCTTACTATTAAGCTATGTTGCATTTTATGTGGGACAGTGCAAGTACATAGTAGTTTCGTCACTATGGTTGGAGTTGTATGAGATTTATGGTATGTAGTTTTGAAGGATATTTCAAGTATCATTATTATGGTTTATTTTTGCTAACTATTAATTTAATCAAAATATTTTCTTGTTATATTTATCTGGCAGATAAATGCGGTGTTGGCAAAGAGTATGCTTAAACAGTATATTTATGAAAACAACTAATCGATTAATCGTACAAGATAATGGTAAAAGTGACTTTAAGTTACGTCTAAATGAACATCCCATAATTCATAAGTGGTAATAGTAAACTTACAACACCGATTGCGCGTTATTACTAATAAACAATATTGCCGAGTTGTATACGTTAATAGATGCGCCTTAAACGTATCATATACTACGTATATCGGTCATTGGGTGACGTAATACGTGTACAGTAGTGAAATGGCAGAGTAAATTTCCCGAACATTAACGATCAATCACCGGTAGGGCACTCGGCGTGCTCTGTTTAGTCTCCGATACTCGAAACGTCCCCATTTACACATACAAACACATACATGGCAGACGTATACTCTGGCGGTTCGAAGCAGTAATGCCAGTTTTGCAATCGGTTCGGTAAGCGAAACCCCGGAAAACGATCCCCTATCGTATACCCTTCAAAACCCATCGTCTCGTCCCGTGCCGCCATTTAATACACACGTACACCCCAGCATAAATGTACGATTGTTGGTTATTGTTAAGGGAGAATGAACAATGGTTACTCAAGTTTCACAACGGATACGTTTGTTCTCAATAAATAGAGTTCTGTAAAAAATCGGTTATAATAAGTTGTTTAAATTAATCAAATAATGAAATCTCACAGCAATAATAAATCATAATTAATTAAAATTGACACTCAAAATGAATTGAGTACAGGATACACAAAAATTAAACCAATTATATTCAGTCAATTGTATTATTAAAAAATGTTATATATAGTATCACTAAAAGGTTTTTGTTAAACTAATAAGTGGGTACACGAGGAACACAAAGTTAGTAAAAGCTCGGGAGTATTTTAATGGAAAACCTTTTGCTACTCATATTAACGAAGTTTCAATATCATGAACGAACGATGTTCATAAAATCATCATCCTGGCTATAAATCATTTCGGCCATTATTAACTATCAACGTTGTTGTAGGGTGGATAGTACCTTACACAAATTATAACAAAAATGTGGATTATTCTACCTCAAAATCAAAAAAAATATTTACCATTAACGCGACAAATTCTAATAAAAAATACCTACAAAGAGTCTATGTTTTGTCTCGATTAAGCGGATGTCCCATTTAACGACCGACCAATTAAGCGGATTACCCTGCACATAAAACGATCCCTAAAATCAATTGAATCTCACCATTCATTACATTCTGCATTTTGAAAATTTGTTACCCATGTTTTGTAAATTGAGGTCAAAACTAAACAACACTATACTTAAAAATCGCGGTACAGTTATAAACACCAAAATTAGTTAGTTCATTGCGCATTTATTAAGAATATTAAAATCTCTTGCGAATTTGAGTTCCACATTTGACGATTTATCGTGGTGGTAAAGGACGAGGTTTAGCTGCATCGCGATGAAAGTTACAAAATCAAACTCGTATGTAATGAACAAGTCAAACCTTGCAAGTTAAAATATTTTATCTCAGATTAAAAACTGTAGTTCAAGATCTTGGAATAATAAATTAACAGTATTCTGCAGATTTTCATTTTCGTGTTTCTGGATAATGATCATTACAATGATATCTTTGAGCTCATTTACACGTCGGGTATCTAATCCATGCGCCAAGTTAATGAAAGATTTTTTAATTGAACCCCTACAGCGTCGAAAACAGCTTTGATGCTATTCAATACGTCGTCTGTCGGGACTTCTCCTGGGAATTAATTCTAGAGTAATACTCTGCGGTGTTAATCTTATCTATGAGCTGAATATTTTTCATATTCAACACGTTGTTATCAATTTATTTCTTTTTAATTGTATGAAAAGATTTATTTGTTCAGATATTATGTTCCTGTAAGTGGTACATAGTAGTTATTGATTGGCATTTTCAATCATCAGAAATGATGTTAATAAGTGCATCATATAAGTTCGAGGCGATTTATTATTCTTGATTTGATCTAATCCCCTCAAATTGCCAGAAAAACAGATATAGGCAATCACTGCTTTTAAAATCAATATATCTTCACAAATTTCAAAATTCTGTTTGCGTACACAGTGTAGAATTTTACAAGTGTTAAAGCTAGATTGGCTCGAATGCCATATTAAGTATTAAAAAATGTAGTACAATTACACCCATCTCACGCACTGCTTAATTACATTTATTTATTCTAATCTGTGAGCCTCCCACGCCCGTTTAAAGACCACAGTTTAAGCCTATTAATCTCACGTTTATCATAACTTTTAATTCAGATTCTGGAATTATCTTTTCTTTGATTTCAAAATATCTCAGAAAGTTACGTAAAAAGAATACTTATGTCAGAAAAAGTGTAAGCCACAAAAAAGGTGTTACAGTTAGAAAGAAAAATATTTAAACATTATTATGATACATTTTAAGGCATTTAATGTGCAATGCCACGTTACAGTTAGAAACATTTCTCCTGGACTTTTTTATGACGAATTCTGCAACGCGTTTGCTTTTTTTGTCTAATGAGCAAATGATCTTGAGTATCTCAATATTTATGCCACCTCCGATTGACGAATTTAGTGCAAAAGTTCCCAAATTTCGCAACCACAGTTAATTGTGTTTTTGAGTTATCGTGTTTACACATACATACATATACGCTGACCTAAACTAAAAATAATCTAAATGGATCCCCTGGCCTCTGAAAACGTAGAGATCCATCAAAATCTCGAGGTCAAATTTTTATACGATTACAATACCTTCTCTTTATATACATGAGAAGGAATAAAAAAAAATCATTACCTGTTATTTACATAGAACTGCAATAAGTTCGGAAAATTAAAAACACTGTGAACGGAGTACTCATTTAAAATGTCTAAAAATGTTTTTAAGTACACTTTTTAAGTAAATCAAAAACAAACATTTTTTTATAATCTTTACAATTACTACAAGAAAGACAAGCACAATCCACCTTTGTTTTGAAGATATTACCCAAGATGAAGTTGCTTTTAGTAGACATTCCGAAAAGAGTTTTATTTAAATGGATGAACTAAAAGAAATACTGGATTCTTTTAAAGAATATTTCAAATGGTGTATTGGCATTGTTTCGAGTTGGACACTTGCCAAATGTGCCTTTTATTAAATGAAATGAACACCACATAAAGAAAT